ATTTAATATGTATAGGTAGACTCATTTTATCTGTGTGGTGCTATGCATAGAAGAAAGACTGAATAGAAATATAGTCATAGTTAACATTTTTTCTCTACAGTGAGACTATGTGTTAGTTTGTTTTTTTTCTTTATACTTCTCTATATTTCTGAATTTTCCAAAGTGAGCATGTATTATTTTTATAATCACAAAATATGCTTATATTTTAAAGATTAAAAACTGGGCAGAGCAAGCCCAGCCGGCTTGGCTCAGTGGTTGAACGTCGACCTATGAACCAAGAGGTCATGGTTTGATTCCTGGTCAGGGCATATGCCTGGGTTGCAGCTGAACCCAGTGTGGGGCGTGCAGGAGGCAGCCGATCAATGATTCTCTCTCATTGATGTTTCTATCTCTCCCTCTGCCTTCCTCTCTGAAATCAATAAAAAAAAATATTTTTAAAAACTGGGCAGAGCATATATAACTAGTATTGAGAGTCATCTCCAGAAGACAAAGTTCTGGGACCCATAGGTCAGATGCAAGTGCTGCTGGAACCCTGCTGCCCACCTGTCCTCTTAGGATTGAGCCATTGGATGTTGCCCCATGCCTGGAAATTCTGATTATGCTCCTGCAGAGTCTTCCTGTCTAGAACAGGTCTCTGAACACTGATCCTCCTTTCAGACCTCTAACCCCTAATTCTGAAGTTAGGAACAACTCAACCCAACCTCTCCCTCCCTGTCCCACACTTTTCTTCCAACCATTTTGTACTCAAGGCTACCCACAGTGGCACATGGTTACCTGTGTCCCTCATAAGCGGAGCGGCTGAGAAGTAACAGACACAAGATGATAGTAGGAGGGCAAGAGAAGGGAAATCTTGGGAGAAATGCTTCTGAGGTTTCCTTCCCTGTGAAGGTCTGTCCCTCTGTCTAGCTTCTTGTCTGTCCTCCTTAGAGGAGGGGCTTAATCTGATTGGGGAATTGTGAAGCCTACATAGGGCATGTTCAGTTTAGTTCCTCCTTTCTTCCTCTTAGGTACCTGCCTCCTACAGTGAGGATGCTCTGCTTCTCTGGGGCAGGATCCCCTTCCTACCCCAACTCTCATCCCCAGAATAAGAAGGCCTGTCATGCTCAAGTGTTACTTGTGACTGGGTGAATAAGTCTGCCTAAAGCTGAAACTCATTTAGTATTTAGTATCCCATTCTATCTCACAGAAAAAAGATATCAAGGTAATATTTTGGTCTCCATCTGCCCACTCTTTTGTCTCATTTCTCATCTTGATCTGAATCCTAAAATTCGGATTGGAGAAAAGAATGCTACTTATGGTAACTTCTCAGGGGCCTGGAAGGTGTTTGTTAAGAGCCAACCACTTGCCCAGCATGAAGCTTTAGATATGTTCATTTATTTAGTTCCACAACAACCCCCAGGAGTTTACAGTATTTTCCCATTTCCCATAAGAGGAAACTGGTGCTCAGAGAGATTAGAAACTTGCCAGAGGTCTCACAATGAGTGAGTGACAGATGTCACTCTGACTTCAATGTCCAAGCACTATACACTGCATCAGACATTGTCCTCGGGTGCCACCAAGACACTCCTTAGGGACTGAGGTAGCAATCTCATCTGCATTTAATACTTCATCCTAATCAACTGAGCTATCAATTGAGCAACATGCAAGAGAGGCAAAGATGATACAACCAAAGGACAAGGAATGGGTGATTATAGAACTCTAGAGTAGACCGAAGACATCAAGAACTATATTTTCCCCAGATTTCTTGGAAGCTTTTAGACAAATGACCTCCCCTGCTTCCCAATTAGTGCTCTGGCTTCCTGGTTGTAAAATAATTCATTAATATCCTGTCCTTCTTAAATCAGACCACATGCCATGCTTCCCTGAGACTGGCCTCAGCATAGTTGCCCTTTGCCCATTTAAAAATTGGGTGTCATACGGCCCTGGGTAGCACATGGAGTAAAATAATAACTATAATGAACAATGAATCAGCTTAACAATATATGAAAACAAGAAGTAGTGAAATGATGAGCAGAAAGTGCCAGCTATAGGGGCTGACCCTTGAAGTAGACAAGCTGAAGAAGATGTTTTGATCTCACCCCTGAAGGACAATCAGCTGGAGGGCTGAACCACAGTCGCTGAGAGAGCCAACCATGCTGCCAAGGTACCAGGCAGCATTTCCAGGAGCTCAAACCACGGCTAGTTTCTTCTCATCTTCCCAACAAATGCTCAGAAAGTGCAAGGGCACCCCACAGGTCACTAAGCACATTCCCAATGGCCCTCCAGGGAAATTTGATGCTGAGAAATGGACCTTTTCCAAAGTAGTGGTTCAAGCCAGATGAGGAATTACAGAGAAGACAGCCTTCCATGGAAAATACCCTGCCTCCAAATCCCCAACGTCTTCATTAGAGAACTGAAAGCACAGGCACACCAGCTGGTCTCCACGGCTCCGAAGCACTGCGGTGCAGTGGAAAGAGCAATGCTAGAGGGCTCATAAACAAGAGACTAGCCTTCTATCCCCATCTCTGCCAGATTTTAGCTGGGTGACCTTGGCATAGGTACTTAGCTTCTCTGGGCCTCACTTTCCTCATTTGTTAAATGAGGTTTGACCAGACTATGATGTGTTCTGATTCTGAAATCCTATCTTTCGACTTTGAATTACCAATTTACATTTAAAGAAAATTAAAGCGAGCTCCTGAGTGTTGTTTCTCAGGGATCCTGCCTGTTATTCTAGGGATCACGCCTCAACCTTTTCAGCATTCTTCATTGGCTTCCCTCCTTCCACAAATCAAACCTAAATTCTTCAACATGGCATTCAAGGTTCTTTATGATCCACCGTGCCTCTCCAGCCACCCTCCCTTTATACTCACCAATCATGTATTTTATACTCTGGCAATACTGGACTATTAGTATTTTCCTATAGTACTCTTACTGCAATATCAAATATTTATGAGTATGCACTCTGTGCTAGACACACCAGGAAGCTTTTGAACATACTGTTCACTTTGCTTGGACTGCCCTGTATTAACTAAACTAAAGCTTGCTGCTGTAACAAATAAGCTATATAGATTAACACAATAGAAAGTTATTTCTTAGTCATATAACAGTTCAGTGTGACAAGCAGCCTTCCATCCAGAATCCTTCTATTTTGCAGCTTTGCCATCCTCCAAGCTTCAATGTTTTACTTCCAGAGCTAACAGCTGGGAAGAAGAAGAAAGAAAAGGCACACCTACTTCTTAACCCAGCCCAGAAATGATGCAATCACTTCTGCTCATGTCCCATTAATTAGAACTTGTCACTTGTCACTTGTAGATGGAACTGGAAATTAGTAGGGCCACTTCCCAGAACATTTTCATACTATGGAATGAGAAAGCACAAGTCTTTGATGACCAACCAGCCATCACACGCTCTTCCTTGACTTCTCTACTTAGCAAAGGCTTATTCACCCTTCAAATCCAAGGGCTACCTCCTTTGCGAAGTCTTCCCTGATCTATGCAGGCAGATTTAGGTCCTCCTTTCCTATCCCTCACTACACATTTTACATTTCTCCATTAGGACTATTATCATGATACTAGAGGCCTGATGCATGAAATTGGTGCACAGGTAGGGTCCCTAGCCTGGCTGGCGATCAGGGCCGATTTGTGGGGCGACCAGCAGGGCAATTGAGGAGCCCCCACTGGCACTCGCCTTAGCCGGCCTGGTGCCGGCCCTGCCCCCCACTGCTGCCACCGGTCGCCTATCCTAGGCCTGGCTGGCGATCAGGGCCGATTTGTGGGGCGACCGGCAGGGCAATTGAGGGGCCCCCACTGGCACTCGCCTTAGCCGGCCTGGTGCTGGCCCTGCCCCCCACTGCTGCCACCGGTCGCCTCCCTCTGCAGGGTGACTGGCAGGGCGATCAGGGGGCCCCCACTGGCACCCACCTTGGCTGGCCTGGGGCCTGCGGGCTGGGAGCAGCTCCTGAATTAAGCGTCTGCTCCCTGGTGGTTAGTGCGCATCATAGCGACCGATCATTCCACCGGTCATTTTGCTGTTCAGTCAATTTGCATATTTGGCTTTTATTATATAAGATACTGTGTGGTTTGCATGCCAGTCTACTTAACTGAACTATGACCCTTGAGGCAGGAATCTTGTCTTTTTGTTTTTGTATTTGGAAACCTTAGCATCATGCCCAGTAAATAGTAGTTTTATAATGATATTTAATGAATTAATGAATATTATCATTAAATCAAAGAATGAATGATTACCTTAAAGAAAAGAAGCTGGTTTTTACAGAGGAACAAAGAGCTCAGTGTAAAAAAACAAAACAGAACTCTTGGTGATTTGAGGTCATCTAAAATGCTAAAAAGAAAATAAGCTTCCCATGTAAATGCTACAATTGTAATTAATATTTTGCATTATCACTTATTTAGAATATGTCTCTCTCATAAACTCCACAAGGGTAGGGACCTTATATGTATTGTTCTTTGCTCTGATTCTAGCATCTAGCATACTGTCTGGCACATAGTAGATACTCAACAAATATTTCGGAAGGAATGAATGGATAAAGAAATGAATAAATACATGAATGAAGACTGCATCCTTAATTGCGTGAGCCATATAATAAATGCTTAGCTTGGCTTATACAAGGAAAGTGTGGACAGGGCAGTAAAAACCTACCCCAACTAAAAAGACAGCCCAGAGTGCACATGAGGACTTTAACATCATTACCTTGCATAGCCCATGGCATCATCCCCTTTATGTAAGAGGATGAACAAACATTATTGGAGGAAGCTAAAATCTCAACGGGGATAGTAGCCGATGAGTAAATGAGGACAAATGGATGTCTCTAAAATGGTTGCACTATCAGATAACCTTTGTAAATTGGTTAATGAAAGAAGCAGGAAGCAAGAGTGCAGACAATTACAGAAGCATGACAACTGTGAAAAATACAGTGATCGAGAAAAGACGAAAATATGTTTTCATAGTTTTTGAAGAGGTATTGAGACAGTTCTTTAAATGTTTGTAACACATTTATTGTTCTCATAGCTCCCATGTGACAAAATTTGGTTTAGACATTACATATGACTTTGTCAGGCAACTTCTAAATGAAACCTCTTCACAGGCCTCGGTCCAGGTTATCTTGAACCTCTGGAAAGTCCTAAATATAATGGAGTAAATTTGCAGTGTGGACTCATTTGAGGTGGTAATGAGGTTGATGTTGATGTTGACAGATGGGCTTTTGCCAGGAGCTGACCAAGACATTAGTGGCAGGGCTAGGCATCAAGTGACCTGTAAATAGGACAGTACAGTTTTTTGCACACATTTGATAATATATAAGAACAGAAGAACGAATGGCATGCCTCAAAGAGCTCTCTGTCTTTCCTGTGAGTTGGGCACACAGCTGGACTATACTTCCTGGCTCTCTTCATTGAAGTTAGGCAGAGCCATGTGACTGAGTTTTGGCCACTAGAATGTGGATGGAAGTGGTGGGTGCCAATTCCAGGTCTGGCCCATAACAAGCCTCCTGTGCAGTGCTCAGTATACTCTTTCTCTACACATTGGCTGGGTGGAGAGGATTCTGACCTAGAGGAACATAGAGTATAAGTTGGAAGGAGTCTAGGTCCCTGAATTACTGAATAGGAGACTGACCACCACATTCCACGCACTTCTGCCCCTACCAATCCATTTTGGACTGTGACAAGAGAATGGACAAAAAGAAGAATACATTTTGTTGGGTCAAACCATTGAGATTTTAAAGTCACTTGTTATAACAATTAGCCTATTTTGATTAAAACAGCCCTTAAATTTCTAGACTCTCAAAGGATTGAGATAAAAGAAGGTAACAGAGAACATACCCAGTATCAGTGGATATTGCATTTAATGGGATTCTGGAGTTTATTTTAAAGCCGTAGAAATTCCTCCATAGCCGAAGCCATGCCTGCTGGCCTCTGCTTATCTAATCAGTGCCTTCTGGACATTTTCATTCTCTCAGGAGAACAGTGACTAACCATCTCCCAACTACGTATCATATGTATCCCCCCACATGGCCTATTTGATTTAATATATTTAGGGTCTAGTCAGATAATACCACATTTAAAACATGTCTTGCTTTTGCTTTTGTTTTTTGTTAAACATGGTGATTAAAAAGAAGAAAAATAAATTAGTAAGTAACTTTGTGTTTGGAGGTATAGTTTTTAAATGATTGTACAAGGTTTGTTGAGCACAGTACTAATGAATTATTATGGGAGAGCCAAGAAAGTTCTGTGGCAAAAATGAGGTCTTTCAGTGCTTGCCTGAAGATGTTATTGGAAAACTTTTGTTTACTTACTGGACTTTGAAAATTAAATCCTTCTTCAAGTAGCCTCCGGGTGTTAAGGACAGTAAATAAAGATGTGCTGATTGGAAACATTTTAAAAACAACTTGTTACAGCCATTAAAATAACAAGGGATAAATTCAACCCAAAACAGAATATTCCAAATTCATTTGGCCTGTCCAACAGAAAAAAACAAACTTAAAAGTTGGATTCCACAAGTCATCTCTCTAAAGATGCTCCACCAAATGAAATTTAGCAGAGACCTGGGACAGGCGCTCTCAAAAGTGCTAGCTTGCTTTTGGCTCTTACTTGTAAACCTAAGCCCATTAATGGAAAGGGGGAAGTTGATCTCCCTATCTTGGGAGTGCCTAGAGAAAGGGATGAACTGGGAAACAGTTAGGGCCTATGGGGAGGAAGAGGTAAGAAATTTAGGAGAAAGTTTCATTTTTTAGTAGAATCCCCATGTGGCTGAGATGGAAGAAATGGATTTGGGACAGTACTTATCTCTTCAAGAAATAAATTCTGTTGCCCCATTTTCAAGGGGTGCAAACTAAGCCATGATGATCCTTTAACTTTCTTCATCTCTTCCACAGACTTCATCTTCTATCCCCTTTCCCATGGCACTCCATTCCTTTTATATCCCACTTAAAATCCCAAGCTTCTATAAACAGGCAGCTAGGAGCAGACCTAGTACTTCTTAAAGCTCATCACCGGAGCTATGTCAAAATACAGGGCAGGAGCAGGTGGTTGTTAAGGATATGTTGTTACAATATGATTAGTGAACTGACTGCCCCCCTCAAGTTAGGATTCATTCATCAATACAAAGGATGTGCAACCTCCTTATACATTCCCTAGTCAGAGCCCTCAGTACTTGGCAGGAGTTCTTAAGGGGATACTGGTGTTGCCATGTAGAGCTGTTATGTTAACGCTTCTCAGTCTCTTCTCTCAATAATCAGATTCTTTCTTTTCCCCAAGAGCTTTATTCTTTGAAAGATTTTAATCTAAAAATCATTATATTTAGTAATGTGTTACTAAATAAATCACATTTCTAAAGAAAACATCCTATATAATAAAAGGCTAGTATGCAAATTGACCCAACAGCGGAACGACTGGTTGCTATGACATGCACTGACCACCAAGGGGCAGACACTCAATGCAGGAGCTGCCCCCTGGTGGTCAGTGTGCTCCCACAGGGGGAGTGCCACTCAGCCAGAAGCCAGGCTCATGGCTGGCAAGCTCAGTGTTGGTGGAGGGAGCCTCTCCCGCCTCCGTGGCAGCACTTTGATGTCCGACTGCCAGTGGGGAGTGGGCCTAAGATGGCAGTCGTACATCCCCCAAGGGCTCCTGGACTGCGAGAGGGTGCAGGCCAGGCTGAGGGCCCCCCCCCCCCCCGCCTCAAGTGCACGATTTTCCGTGCACTGTCCTCTAGTCCTATATAATAAAAGCATATGCAAATTGTCCCCTCGACCGGAGTTCTTCCAGGAGTTCGACCAAGGAGCGTGCCGGCCGGGGGAAGGGAGGGAGGTCCTGGCACTGGCAGGTGGCTGGGGAAAGAGAGGGAGGCCCTGGCCAGTGGCGGCAGCAGTGGCAGTATTGGCAGGCAGCAGCAGGTGGCCAGGGGAAGGGAGGGAGTACCTGGCTGGCAGCTGGCAGCTGGCAGCCAGCAGCCACTAGGAACCCTACCAGTGCACGAGTTTTGTACATTGGGCCTAGTATTAAATATTTATTAGGTATTGTATTAATGAGTGCTTTATATACATTGTCTAAAAACTCTCAAATAGTCTGAAAAAAATGGAAATTATTAGTCCCATTTTACAGATGAGTAAACTGAGGTTTGGAGATGTTAAATAAATAGTCTAAGTCTTATTGCTAGAAACTAAATTCTGATTGGCCTCACCTCTACACCCATATTCTTTCCACTATACTCTCTCTATCATATAGAAAACACATGGCCAACGAGAACTCCTTCTTAGTAGGAACATACAGCCTTTGCAGGGAGTTAGTGTGGCTTAATATCCCCATCTTCCAGTTGCCCACTCCTCCAAAAATGAAAGAAGTTTTCCATTATTTAGTCAACCTGGTCCAGTTTGTTGTGACTACATATACAGTCTTTTAGGCTTTTTTGAAGTACTAGGCATGGTTCAAGTAATTCCATTATCCTATATAATAAAAGCCTAATATGCTAAGTCCCCGGTCGTCTGGTCAGCTGTTCAACTAATCAAAGCTGAATATGCTAATGATATACTAAGGCAGCTCAACCGCTCACTATGATGTGCACTGACCACCAGGGGGCAGACGCTCCGACCAGTAGGTTAGCTTGCTGCTGGGGTCCAGCCAACGGGACTGCGTGAGACAGGCTGGACATGCCCTGGAGCCCTCACACGGTCCCTCCCTGGCTGGCCAACCTCCCACCTCTCTCCCTGACCCCAATCATGCACCGATGGGGTCCCTTAGCCAGGCCTGCACCCTCTCGCAATTCAGGACCCCTTGGGGGATTTCAGAGAGCCGGTTTTGGCTCGATCCGCCATAGGTTATCCTTATAGAACACCAAGAGCCTAGAGAATCCAGACAGGAAACTAGAGCTGGCAGTTCAAAACAAATGGAAGTTGGGCAGAGGGAGTTCAGAATACAGGTTTAGGCACAGACCTCCTCCGCTGGATTCATTTTCTTCCTCCTTCAATTCTATTGAGTATTCAGTGATGTACCATGGACTGATGTGAGGAGGGGAATCCTTAGGGAATACAACATTTGATGGGAATAAGAAGAGTCATTGAAGAATGACAGCCTAGGATGAGTGACAATGAAGAGAAGAGAAAAGACAGGACTGGCCAGAGTGAGAGACAGACTTTGATAATTCTGGAGGCTCTGAGAGAAGCCAAGCCAGCTTTGTTGTGATTTGATTAAAAAAAGAAAAGGGAAAGGATGGCTGACCCTTTCCACTGATTGGTTTTGTAATCTACTGGTGGGGTCTTCACCAAGTGAAATAATCCCCAATGGAAGGTGATGGGGAAGTGCTGCTAGGCCTTCTGGTAGTACTTTTGTTGCAGAACTCATTTATCAAAGGGACCTACACAACCTCCCCTACCCAACTGGTAACTTTGAAGCCAGAATCTTTAAAAATTACAGAATAAATTAAGAAAAAGGATATTACTAATTCCAGTAGTAAAATGAAAATTGTTCATCCAGTATCCTATGGTTAAATTCTGTACTGCTATGCAGAAAATTCACAACTCCCCTATCTTTGTGTTAGCTGAAAGACAAAATAATAAAAACAAACAAACAAACACACTCAAAACAATAATAACCCAAAATCCCCTCTGGGTATCCAGAAATACTGGGCAACCTTGAGCAGAGCTTAACTGATTTAGATATTTAATTGCTGTAAAATAAAAGTGTTTACATGGAGATTAAAAATAACTAATTTTCCTTAGAAACCCAAATTTTTAGTTCAAATAATGAGATCTGTTAACCTACTTGCTTATATTTTCAATGGATCAGTTATTTAGTTTATAGTAGCTAAAAGACAAAAGGTAAACATCAAAGAAAGAGAGCAGATACATATTTTTCCTTACTTTAAAATTTAAACAGTACTCAAGAAACATCTAAAGATCTGTCTATTCTGCATTCAAAGAAAATGCCCTTCCTAAATATTTTATTCTAGAGTCTAAAGCAGCCGTGGGCAAACTACGGCCCGTGGGCCGGATCCGGCCGTTTGAAATGAATAAAACTAAAAAAAAAAAAGACCGTACCCTTTTATGTAATGATGTTTACTTTGAATTTATATTAGTTCACACAAACACTCATCCATGCTTTTGTTCCGGCCCTCCGGTCCAGTTTAAGAACCCATTGTGGCCCTCGAGTCAAAAAGTTTGCCCACCCCTGGTCTAAAGTGTTATTGTTGTTGTTGTTTTTGTTTTGTTTTGTTTTGTTTGGCAGGGGTGGGGGAGTTGAAGGTGGATAGGGAATTATTGTAAAATGCCATAAAAAATTCTTCTGTATCTGAATTCCCAAAGTGATTTCACTGTCTTTAATAAGTGTTAGCAAAAAGATCTACTTATCCATGGTTAAATTCTGGCTAAAAATGAATTTCAGAGTATTTTCTTTTGAGCTCAGAGAAAAAGTAGTCTCTGCTGGACTTTATATTCCAAAAATTTCTGCCTTGATTGACCACCCTTAGCAATAAATTTGAAGACTTGTGTATCCTATATAATAAAACTCTAATATGCAAATCGACCAAACTGCAGAATGACCGGTGGAACACTGGTCACTATGATGCACATTGACCATCAGGGGGCAGACGGTCAATGCAAGAGAAGCCCCCTGGTGGTCAGTGCTCTACCACAGGGGGAGCACCGCTCAGCCAGAAGCCAGGCTCACAGCTGGTGAGCGCAGTGGCGGTGGTGGGAGACTCTCCCACCAGGGGGAGCGCTGCTCAGCCAGAAGCTGGGCTCACGACTGGCGAGTGCAGCAGCGGTGGCGGGAACCTCTCCTGCCTCCGCTGCTGGAGGGTAGTAAGGAACGAGGGGTCCCAGACTATGGGAGCCCCGGACTGCAAGAAGGATCTCTGACTGCCAGCTTACAAACATCCCCCGAGGGCTCCCAGACTGCAAGAGGGCACAGGCCGGGCTGAGGGACACACCCTCCCCAGTGCACGAATTTCATGCACTGGGCCTCTAGTACTCCATAAAGAGCATAAAGCCTCAGTCTTAATCCTCTTATCCTTTATACTGATAAAGGCTGTCTCTTAGGTGCCAGGCAACATCTCAGAGTCCCTTTATCTGAACATTCAAAGTAGAGATAATCATTTGAAAACTATGCAAGTAGTTAAGAACCCATTTTCAAAAACCCATTTTTAAGAGGCTGCCATCCCCTTAACTCAGTGACCAATATTAGCCTCATCAATAGGGGGACAACCAGAATTATGTACAGCCTAATACGATGCAGTAGGAAGAATTCTTATAAAAAATTTTAACCTGATTCTTACCAAGCCTTTCTCTGAGCTTAAAAGAAATACAGAAGACAGAAGAACATGTTTAAAAACACCATGAAAAAATAATCAGACAAATCCAGAAGGTGGGACATTCTACAGAACAATTGGCCAGAATTGTCAACAAGTCAATGTCATGAAAATAAAATGTATGTGAGTGTGGCGAGAGGAGGCAGTTCCAGATTAGAAATCTTAAGAAATACAACCACCAAATATGTGGAGCTTATTGAATTAACCATCTTTAAAAGATTGTTTGGAGTAACTGGGGAGTTATTCTTAAAGGGCATAGGGTTCATTTGGGATAATGAAAATGTTCTGGAAATAGTGGTATTGGTTATATAACATTGTAAAGGTGTTTACTGCTTCTGAATTGGACACTTTGTGGGCTCTATCCCTAGTAGGGGGCATGCAGGAGGCAGCCCATCAATGTTTCACTCTCATGTAAATGTTTCTCTCCTTCTCCCTTCCTCTCTCTCTCTCTCTCAAAAAAAGTAAATTTTACAATAGGAAATATATGAATGTATTGAAAAATTATGTGAATCTTGTTAAATGTGACAACAGATTTTTGTTTACCTAACAAAGATATGTTAATTATTTATGGATGAATTTTGAAGTATTTAGGGGTGAAATATATATACCTATAACTTGCTTTAAATTACTGCAGCAAAAAAAAAGAAGAAGAAAAAGAAAAAATAAGGATTATATGGCAAATTTTTGCAATTGTTTGATCTAGGTGATAAATATTGGATGATCATCATAATATTCTGATTCTTTTTCTGTATGTACTAGAATTTTGAAAAGGAGAGGGGAACCCTGGACAAATTACCTCTCTGTACAACAGCACAAACTTGTGACTGGAGTTCTGAAATAGAAACATGAGCTACCCTGAAAGGATGCTCTCTGGACGACCACACTTCCCAGGGGTAAGAAGGATTGGTGGTCATAGTCATGTGCATATCAAAAAGCCAGTCCTGGCCAGTGATTCAGTTGGTTGGAGCATCATCCCATTCACCAATAAGTTGAGGGTTTGATTCCTGGTCAGGGCACATGCCTCAGTTGCCAGTTCCATCCCCAATCAGGGCACG